TAGGTTCTGGCTATTACAAATAGTGCTGCTATGAACATAGTTGAACAAATGCTATGAACATAGTTGAACAAAGGGCATCTCTTGATTAATTTGGATAGGGGTTTGTCAATCTTGTTGATTTTCTCCAAGAACCAGCTTTTTGATTCATTGATTCTTTGGATTGCTTTCTGTGTTTCTATTTTGTTGATTTCAGCCCTCAGTTTGATTATTTCCAGTCTTCTAGACCTCCTGGGTGAATCAGCTTCTTTTTTTTTCTAGAGCTTTCAAGTGTGCTGCTAAGTCTCCAATGTGTGCTTTCTCTGTTTTCTTTAATTGGGAACTTAGTGCTATGAACTTTCCTCTTAGCACTGCTTTCATAGTGTCCCATAGGTTTGAGTATGTTGTGTCTTTATTTTCATTAAATTCAAGGAAGACTTTAATTTCTTTCTTTATTTCTTCCTTGACCCAGGGGTGATTCAGTAGTTGACTGTTCAACTTCCATGAGTTTGTTGGCTTCCTGTGGGTAGCACTGTTGTTGAATTCTAACTTTAATCCATGGTGGCCTGACAAGACACAGGTGGTTACTAATATTTTTTTGTATCTGTGGAAGTTTGCTTTGTTACTGAGTATGTGGTCAATTTTCGAGAAGGTTCCATGAGCTGCAAAGAAGAAGGTATATTCTTTCCTATTTGGGTGGAATGTTCTATAGATGTCTGTTAAGTCCATTTGATTCAATACCTCCAATAATTCTCTTATTTCTCTGTTAGGTTTCTGTCTGATTGACCTGTCTATTGGTGAGAGAGGAGTGTTGAAGTCTCCTACTATTAGTGTCGGTGGTTTGATGACTGCCTTGAGTTCTAGAAGTGTTTCTTTTACATAAGTAGGAGGCTTTATATTAGGGGCATAGATATTCAGGATTGAGACTTTCTCCTGATGAATTGTTCCTGTTATGAGTATAAAATGTCCGTCTCCATCTCTTCTGATTGATTTTAGTTTGAAGTCAATTTTGTTGGAAATTAGAATGGCCACACCAGCTTGTTTCTTAGGTCCGTTTGCTTGAAAAACCTTTTCCCAACCCTTTACTCTGAGTAGATGTCTGTCTTTATGGTTGAGGTGTGTTTCTTGTAAACAGCAGAAGGTTGGATCCTGTTTTCGTATCCAATCTCTTAGTCTGTGCCTTTTTATAGGTGAATTGCGTTCAT